CGGTTAATATACTCTTATAACAAATTTTGCATCGAATTCTGCATTCTCAATCATTTATTCTCAAAAATGAATAAAATAAGTACTTATGCATTTATTTAGAATATGATTTTGGAAATTATTGCCTCCGGTATTATTAACTTTTTTTTTCTAATTTCCATCGAGGTCACATATTGTTTCAAAATTGAAGTTAACATATTTAAAATTCAAGATTTAAAAAGAATAGTTTTATCACACATTTAGTACGTCTAAAAATTTCTTTTCTGATTAACGAACAAATTATATTATTTTATTTAATCATGTAATAATATGACAAAACAGTCAATGTAACGCACGGTAGATACGATCATTGATTGATACTATGGAATTCAGGTCTTTTGGGTTATTCGGATCACACACATTATAATCAAATGGATCATAAATCTGTTTAATGCTCTTTCAGATGATTTTTTGAGTATTTAATAGTGATTTTAAAATGAATATCGTGATATATAAAAATAAAATATTTTTGACAATTTTAATTACCTTGTTTACCTATGTAATTGGCGATTAGTCATTTGATATATATATAGTGATTACCATGCATTATCTAGATTCTAGAAGTTACATCTTTTTTAACGCTTAGGACGGGTCACACGGAAAAACGCGTTTGCAAGCTATAGTTATTAGAAGTCAATCTCAATTTCGTCGCTAGCAAACGCTACTTCGATCAAGATCCGTTTGAATCTATATCATTTTGAAAAAATATTGAATAAGCAGATGGTTAGTGTTGTCTCCATGTCTACCGGTTTAAATAGTTTTCTACTATCAATATAATGAAATGGACTTTTGGAGGTTTGCCTCATTGTAGATTGGGATACATAACCTGTTTTACCCACCAAGACTAATGGATGAAGTCGAATAGTTAGTTATAAAGTTCAATTTCGCAAGAAAAACACGAGACTTGCAGATAACCGAGTGCGAATATCCAGCAATTACAAAAATGCGGCTCGTTCTTTTATTAAAGAACGCGAATATTTTCTGCAATTGAGTCTACCCCAAGAGTAAATATGTCGATTATAAAATAAGTGTTTAAATTCTGAAGTAATATTTACTAAAATGAGCCGATGACCTTATTAAATTACATTTAACTGCTTCTGTGGCAAAAATGACCTGATCGTGTTAAGATTTACACCCGAGGCGTAAACAACAAAGCCGAAAGCGCGATATGTCACCTCATGTGGACCAGGTGTCTACCATATGTCGTTGACTAAAAATCTTTGTTGTGGCCAGAGGCAAGACGATTTTGTACTAAACCAAAATATTTGTTATCGGCTTGATCTTGTCGCGGATACTTTGATTTATGGGCTGGGTTATTAAGAACAGCAAGCGCAGGTGTGCTGTTCTCGAATTATGTGTGGTAACAGTTTTTCCGCATAGAACGTGTTCAACATTTCTAATCGTACGTCAACTGATGCAAAATTGTTTAAAACGATGTATGGACTGAGATTAAAATAATTTGCGTCAGTTTTGAAAACAACAAACGATCTGACTGATTAACAAGTACAAATACGAAACATTTGTCAGCTTGGTGAACCAACAAGTTGTTTCGACTAAGATAATCCGATTACATGTTTCACAAATGGTCTATTGTATTGTAAAAAAATCGTCAAAAATGTTGATATGCGTGCAGCGAGATGCATGCATATTATGTAAAAATATACTTAAGAATCGAAAGGAAATTGAACATTCTATAAGTAAAAGCCGCATTATTAAATTACCATAAACTATTGGAAAAATAAACAAAATAACCCGATCAACATACAGTGTATGTAATTTTACATTTTCCAAATAATGGAAACCAATAACAAACGCGGCTCACTTCATAAATTGAACTGTTAATTCAACGCCGTACAAAAAACGGCAGCACGATTTTCCTGGTAGCAATCGATAAATGACGATTATTTAAACATAGTTATGCGTTTAATAAAATCTTTTAACATTATATGTCTTTAGTTAACGGATATACATTGACACAACAATCACCAAATGATAAAGTAGATGAATATTAAGAGGCAACGATCTCTTCACAACGGACGAGCAAACGAGCCAAAACTGACCAAATAAACAGAAATAAAACACAAGACAGGTCAAGAAAAGGACAAATCGTCGCTAAAGCAACAACCATAACTCGAATCGTTTCAATCGTTTACCATTAGTCATTCACCCCACAGTGCGCACGACGTGATACCATGATGGAAACGTGCTGTGTAAAAACAGCGACAAAATTCTGCAAGCTTTTACAAGTAATAAATATATCCATATGTCCAAAATATAATATATATGACCAATATTGTAGCATTTGTATCATTAACCGATTGTTAATAAACCTATTTTTATTTGTTTAGTTTTGCCTTATACAAAGATCCAAAATGCTGCCACTATAAACCACCATAAGATGAAAACAACATTCTGACTGTGTCAGTCTACGCATTTCATTCTTCAATTTTTTCCGTAAAAGATTACAAAAAACCAAGCAAATCAATTTCATTTAACAATGCAAAGTCCTTATAGATTAACAACAAGACACGACATTTCACTAACTATTATATATTCAGTATCTAGCTTATTTTAAACTTAATTCTGTTTCAGACCGTTTTCTCGAATCTTATTTGAATCTTTATGCTATGTATGTTACAAATTGAATCTGCAGCAGAGATACATAACTTAAAGATTTCCAACCTTATTAAATTTTTATTTATTTTTTAATCAAATAAAGTTTCTCTTATTATCACGGTGAAAAATTCACTTGTCAAAACTAAAAAAAAAAAAACTATTTTGTTTTATACTACAAAACCCAGCAACCTTAAATCTTTCACATCCACGCTTTGACAGCGTAGAGTTTAAAAACTGATTTTTACTTTGCCGTCCCTGTCTTATAGCTATGGAAGTTATCGTAAAAACATAGTCATAAATCTGTGGACGTATATCGTCAGTGATATTAATAAGAAAACTTGCGGTGAAGTGTGATGTAGTGGGCCCATTTGTCGTTTTTGCGAGATTACCGTTTAAAATGGATTCGACTAATGGTCAAAACACTTATGGTGAGCTATTCAGTTCGGGAAGTATCGTTATGTCTAATACACGCACGTGTGGATATCGGTCTCAACGGCACAAAAATCATTTATCACTATCATTTTCAAATCAAGGACAGAATAGATAGAATCGCGGTGTTCACGGTTGTAGGATAATTTTTGAAAGCCACGCTGGTGTCATATGTCAGCACAGCTGTCCATAAATAAATGAAATCTTCACCGACCGCTCCGATCATCACGATTCATCATTTTTATTGATATGCAAACCATGCTTTTATTGGATATTTCTAATACACTTTAACAAATAAAGTAAAAAGCGTGGACGCTATTGCGTGCATGTGGTTAATACGGTGGTTGGGGGTGTAAGAAAATTTTGGAAGGAGGTAGTGATGGCATGCCGACTTGCATGAGAGGGAAGGTGTTAAAATATAGCAAATGTAGATTCAGATGGTGGTTTTTGTGTTTAGAATCAACTAGGAAATATGCAAATTGAGGTTTGTACTGCTTTTATTTAATTTATTAACTTTGTCATATAGCTTGTTCATTGCTGCGTTAGCAAATCATTATCGTAATCATTATTTGTAATTAAGAAACTAACTTGAGTGATATCTCAGTTCACAATTTCACAGGTAAACAATACATTATAATTATGCAATAATAAAACAAAATGTGTCAGGGGTTCAGCAATCATATTATAGCGACCGAAATATGTGATGTCAAAATTTTTTTTGTATTTCTTCAATAAATATATCATTGTGCCGATATTCAATGTAGCTTTTCAATTACTCTGTGTAAAAGAAATAAATAAAAACTTGGAATAGACTGATTCTATTGGAAAATGTCTCGGTGGCATAGTTCAAATAATGGAATAGATGTTTCAGCGAGCAATGGTTCGAGATTACAAACGTTACTGAAATCTGTAATTTATTATATATTTTATCTAGTTTTATCATTAAAAGTATTATCATCACATATATTAATCATATTCAAATTTAGATTAATTTTAGAAATTCAATTTTATTAAATATATGAAGATATGAACACAGAAACACAAAAATTCAAATATCGATTTTTTTTTAGCTGGTGGAAAAAGGGGGAAAGAGTTCGACATTATTTCACACAAACCTTTTCCGCGGATGCAAAACAGAGAGCCGCCAAAACAATATAACAGTAAATAATATATTATTTATATGTCTTTGTTGATTGATTATATGTTTAAATTGAACCAAAAATTCTTAAATCTAATTACGATATCAACAACTTACTACTTTTTCAATAGTTTCCCCAATATACAAGGTGGACAAAAAGTAGGGTGACATTTATTTTTAATCAATTCATTCACTGACTGCTGGCCCACATTTGGCCCATCTATACATCTGTCTATACTTCTTTATATGACTCACAAAAGCACTTTGAAATTACACTTTTGTCACTCTCCCAATACATCACTGTACTTTACTGACATTATTACTGGTTCTAAATTAAGTACGACAAGTTTAATTGTTAAGATATATATCTTCAATATATACATAGTCTGCCATTTTGTTTATTACGTCTTACAACGTCAAACAACCAAATTAGTGATTTTTTCCTAATCATTAATAAGGTCACCTAACTTAACGACTATATTATACAACTATTATCCATTTAAATACTCAATCTTATTACAAGTTCCAATTATTAACGAATACGCTTCAATGAACAAAAATAGTAAACACCTACCTGGTTCATTGTTGATTCCAATCACTAAGAATTCAGACAAGAACGACCGACATTTTGTTAGGAATCGAGTGACATAGCAAGTCAGTCTTATAAGCGTGGTATTTTGAACGCATTTAGGTTAATTAAAATTGAATATAATTACGTATATGTGTATTTGAATAAAAAGGAATTTAAAAAAATCGTAATATAAAATATTATCATTCTTACCTCAAACACACAAAATGGTTTCCTGGTTGCGTGACAAGAAATTTTAAAACGACTAGATGCTGTGAAGTAGGCTACGTGATGGGTCAAGTTGGAGACGACAATTTTGTTGTCTTCCGTAAACGTTTTTGTCTTGTTTTCAGATGATTGTAATATCCATTCAACTTTTGATCTGTGAAAATTTAATTTTTCATTTAACATTTCAAAAAGTTATCACGCCCAAAAGATATGTAAATATATTCGTATCATAATATAACAACATATTCCTACATGCCCGTGTATACATTCATTGTAGAAAAACATATAATCATAATTTTATATGAGAACATGTAAATCAGTAACTAAAATAAAATTGTTGACTGTAAGATGTGAAAACGCGGTGTTGCTTTTACTCATTATTTTCTATTTTAAATTGTTTTATTTATTATTTCTTTTCCGCAAGACAAACGGAGTTCAAATCAAGTACATTCTACAATTTTCTTGCAAAATATTTATCTAATAACAAAGTTAATCATCATAATCATAATTAATAAAGGTAATAAACTATGTTTATTCTGTAATATTATACTAACTAAAAACAAAGCATCACAGATAATCACCACACACATTGAATCGTACATACCCCAAACCATAAAATTTAAATTAATTCACATAACCCAATGAAACTATTCAATAAGTTCATATTATTTCAATCATGCGGCATTGTTAATTTTTTGGGTTATTACCTACAGGAAGTATGAAAACATTAACAATAAATCTTTTTTAGTATTCACATGTATACTGTAAACTTTGAATAAAGTCATTCAACTGGTAATAATTGGTTTCTGGAAATGAGAATCGAGTATTCTTCACTAAAATCGTGTTTTTTGTTATCCTGTCATTTTTTATATTCCAAAGTATATATTTTCGTTGCATTACCTTTTTTAAAATTCACAAATACTGATAACATCAAAAGGTTATTGAAACTGACTTTGAAAATATTTTAATTTCCATGGTACATATTTGATCTTAGTGTTTTTAAAACTGACGAAATCGTACAAATAGAATACAAATATGCATTAGTATATGAAAGAACTTTTGCCGGTCAGAGTATATATATTTTGGTGTGACTAATTTCATTTATGTAAGTTGAGAAATCTGACTGTTTCATCTCAGATAGTAATTGACTATTATAGAAACAGTTAAATTCGCTTTTATATAAAATATTACGGAAGATTTCTCAATAAATTGTGTCCATGCTTAACTACAATACAATGTTTGTGGAATTTAAAGTTCAAGCAGTAAAATGACATTGAAATTATGATTACGGTACATCATTTATGTAAATTTTCTCTGATCTTTAGTAAATCGAGTAGCACAAGCTTTAAATTACTATTATATACTATTATATAAATAACATCCAGACAGTAGACGGAAAGATAAAAAAAGCTTTTTTATAACCACGTGCAATAATTGTGGTTATCATTTCAAAGCATGGTCGTTTACAATTTTCCAAACTACCTGGCAGCGTCTGTGGAGCTATTGGCGGCAGAGTAGATTGTCGTTTCGTATACAGTGGATATTGTTCTAAGCGAGTTTTCGTGACCTTACTTTAAAACAATTTTCTCATAGGCATGTGTACGTTTGGGACAGACTGATTGATGATCTGTCCAAGTCTCCAGTAAATGGGTCAAATTCAATAGTGTAATCAGTTTTGTAAATAAATTATATTTTTTGTGTGCGTGACAAATGTATTTTAACGCCATTACATTGACCATTAGGGGTGCTGAGATAATTTTCTTGCGTGCTGTCTTTGTATCGATGCGTTTCAAGAAAAAAAATCAGAAACCTTATCACGTGTTCTAAGTTTTGACTCCATAGCGCCACCATATAAAAAAAATCAAACGTTTCAAATTAACAGACCGACATTGGTCACGTGACTTTAAAAACTTTTTTGTGGATTCGGAGCTTCAACGTCATTTCTATATAGTAAACACAGAGAGGTTAAAATGTTAGTTTCGGGTTCTCACGTTATAAACTGAGTGAAATTTGTGTCAGGGGTTAGTGCGCATCTTTGTTTGCAGATTGGTTTTCTTTCATCTCCATTGTTTTACGGGTTCACTGCCTAAAAAGACATCCGGGTTTCCGCCTGACTAAATGATCACAACTCCTAACGACCATTTTGTTTGTAGCATTTTCAACTGTTAGATATGCATAACCATGCAGATAACAATGGCGAAGTAGAATATAATATACCCCCAACTAATACGTTATTATATCTAAATAAGTTCCCAATATCTTGGTACATATAAATTAATATAAAACTCAAATAAGTATTTGTTCTTTTTAACTGTATTGATTGACTTTATGACTGATTTCACAGCGGAGTTATTCTAGTCACTCACTACACATTGTTAGAGTAAGCGTACTACGTGCTTATGTGGAATTCGCAACAATAGAAAAACCACGATTTCGAATCTGGTTTACAGACCGGAGGTGGTGTGGATTTATTTCCACTGTTCGAAGCATATCTCAAGTTACCTTGAGCCATTTCATTCAATATATAGGATAGTTGGTAGAATGGATAAGATAAGTGCTAAACACGTACAAAACTACTAATGAAAATGACATCAGCTGTGGTAAATGAGTCGACAACTTAGTAAATTGTTGGTTGGTATGCAGGATGCGAAACGCGAGAGGGCGGTAACGCGCAATAAAATTGTGACGTGTGTTGGCCGGTTTTAGCTGCAAAGATTCAAGGTTTGTAGCTATGCTGTTGCCAGGTGTGTCTTTCAGCACTTTACGCAACAGCCAGGCACAGACAATTTTTAAAAAGGGGATTACTACCACATAAATTCCATCCTTACCGTAAAAATGCAAAGCAAAAACAACACAAAAAATAGATCTTTTATAAATAAGACACAATCGAGAATAGTCCGCGGAAACTAAATCAAGAACAATGTCGTAAATAAAAATACAACAAAACAATATAAAACTATCTTCGACGTCTTATGGTTTTCTGATAAAAATTTTGTTCAACTTCTACACATTTTCTATTTATGTTATACTATGAATAGAAATAAACAATTAGAAATGTATTTAACAATTTGCCCCGAAGTGAAGTATACAAAAATGATTTATTGGATATTTAGATATGGTGCGCATAATTTTGGTGTTATATACGTTGAAAAGTGGTGATTTTATGCAAAAATTCCTGATGATATTTCTAATTATTTACAGATTTTTCAGTTTTAAACATCTGTTGAGCATTACCGAAAAACAAATTCGTTATCCTACTAACGGAGTCAACATGAAGCTAGCTTTCATAAATATTTAAAAACCAAATGAATTAAAATCCAGGTCTATATGCATGCTCAAGACTTGATCCGAGTAATCTCTTGACAACCGAAACTCGATTGGTTGATTAATTTGAAAGTGGAATCAAAAACAATATTTTATCTCAAATACAAAATATTATTCATTTTAGCCGAGATAGGTGGAAACGTTTGCAATTATGAGTGATTCTCTCCTGTTCTTTTTCCTCATGTTTGCAACTGCACCCAAACAACAGGTATATTCCGTGCATTTCAATATGATTTAGCCTCCAATGTAATATACAGCATTGAAGTCTACCATGGGAATGTGCAACAATACCAAAGAAATTCAATAAGATATTGGTTTGAACAAATATCGAAACGCGTTGACTATGTCAAGTCCCCATTTGTTCCCATTTTATAATTTTTTCTTTTTAAAAGATTCAGAAATATGTCTTATATAAAACTGGCAAAATAGTTTCAAAACATATTCGAAAAAATTCAATAGATTTTTGAATAAATTCCTATACAAAATCGTGTCGCTTCGATCAATGCCCTTTGATAAAAGTTCTGACATTTTAGCGTTTACATTACTGGTTACCGACAAAACCTATTTCTTACCTCAGCTTTTTTCTAGACTTTCCTCTCCGAAGAATGCGAAGAAAAATTTGAGATATAGTTGAACACATTTTGTTTTCCTGATGTTGTACAACCTGCTACCAACTGACTCATGCTAATCAGTATGGGACGTAGTACTCTGTGCCAATTTCAATTACTTTTATCGGGGGCTTGAGACGAAACATAGAAATGAGTCTACGCTTATCACCTGTATTTACTTACACTTCACACTCTGGTAAGTAATTGAGCGATCTATACCAATTTAGCGTTTTGGTGTCAAAAAGTAGGAATGAAAAATCAATCACAAAAATGTACAAAATAATAACTTACGTCCAAAGTGATGTATTTGACGATCCACAATAAAATCATCGAGGCACTTTATTCTTTCATGAATTTTATTCAAAATGGCGATAAGACAGTGTATACTTTATAACGTCTAATAGATTTGATCTATGCTTCACAATTAATAATAACTGTCACAGAAAGCACTAGAGTACAGATGTTCATCAAACAAATAAATTCTTCTTTAGTAAATATTTTAAAAACTAGCCGACAAAAATGTCAAGTTAGTACATACAATTTCATATTTGTTAAATTCAATCTATAACATTATTTCAGTGTGATTCACATTTTACCTGATTTACTCTACATTTTATCTGCTCATGGTATTTCATAATTACTAATATAGTATTTGCTAATAACGTAGATATGGGTGTCAAGAGTATAATTTCTCAAGCTCTGTTCAAGTCAACATTTTCATGCAAGTAACGTTTCACTTCCGAACACTTTTACAACTTGAGCGTGAACTTTTTTGAAAAATGAGGCGAATTCAAAGCAGTGATTTGTACAAAAACATTGAACGACTGTCTTGGGGCTCGCTCTTTGGCGAACGTCACTGAATGGTTATCTTCTGATCTTAAATACTTTTTCCTCGGATTCACCTTCTGTGAATTTTTTACAAAGCTCGAGTGTTTTGTAACCCTGATACTAAATCATAACTATCGTAATTTTGCGCATAGAAATTTACCACCAGTGCTAAAATCCCCTTTAGGATAACTAAAGCTGTCAAAGTATGGATACTCCATTCTAAAACTCTTTAAAATGGCGTAGTCGGGCGTGACTTCGCAATCGTTTTCACTTGTCACGTGATATACGTCGCGTTCCTATCAAGTGAACCAATCCACTGGTGAAAGAGACAAACAATTCAGAGGGAATGTGATCTATGACAAACTAATACCAGATGATCGTTGTAATCTACCGTTTGTCAGGTCAATTTCTTAAACTCAATTATGGTATATACGCTATTAAAAAGTATAAAAATTGGCTTATTGAGCGGATGTGGGTGTACTTTTTATGATACATCAAAGATATTGCCCACAATAAAATATTAGAACATTAAATAAGCATTTGTACATTCTGGCTACAAAACATGCAGCTTACTTGTCACCGGATGCCAATCAGCAATATATCTTTCGAATCGAGTTTTAAGTCACTTTATTCTACTCCTATCTTTCATAAACTTTTATTGTGGACGCGAGACTTCATATAGTTTACCATTCTTGTCGTCTATGTGGTCATCTTACTATAGTACCCATCCAAACTTGACATACGATTTAAACTCTGACCTCAAGCTTGCTTGAAGCAGTAGCTATTAACAATAACTGCCGACAGATTGATAGTGGTAATTTAGAAATGCAAAAGTAAATAATCATCAATCATACAGTAGTATCCTTCAGCTATCTAAATAAAACGTATTCGTAGTTGTTCAACGTGACACTAAATGAGTTCAATGACCTCATATCACAGACGATGGACATAATTGTGACCCCCATTGCCTTTCTTGTATGTTTCCACATTGAAGAAATACGTACTACGAATGTTCTTGACACAGAAAATTAATTGAATTATTATGCACTGAATTTACGCGATATTTTTTTGTTGCAATCTCGAACATGAACTTTTCTAAGCCTCGTTTAGAGGCATTTCACACCTTGTTGATACGTATATTTGTAGTTACAAAAATATGTTGTCATGGGAGAATAAATATACCAATCATTCAGAGAATTCATTGCGCTAAAAAAAAATCTTATAGGGTAGATATTATGTAACATAATAGGTTATGCTCAAGGTAAATTAAAATTTACTGGCATATATTCGAAATAGCTACGTCAAAGTTTGTGTATCTGAAACGCTTTTATTTTAAATCGTATCTTTTTGTTATTAATATTTTCCCTTCGTTTGGTACAAACTATTTTGTTTATGACGGCCGTGTGACAAATTAATAATTTATCATATTTGGGCACAAATTCATCGATTAGTTCTACCATCCTCAACCGTGAGGTTTCTCTTTTTGTGCAAGATCTGATATCCTAATGCGATCTCCCTCGGCTTCGTTTTTCAAACATTGGTTTATAAATATTCACGATACGCCATTGGTCTAGTTTTGATGACCTTTGATAATTTGATTTTTGACACTAGAAAAGGGTCCCCAGAGTCTCTAGATCACATCTTTTCGTCTGTCGCAATGTCACTTCTGTGTTTTGCATTTTAGTATAATAAAAATAAAAAACAATATAAGAAGAGTTTTTTGACCTTAGCTAACTCGTTTGTTTTATTCTTGTAAATTTTCAAAAGGGCAACTTGTTTCTATACCAACTTAAATTGATGAATAAGCCCCTGTGAAGTTGACAAGCGTAAAATTGCTTTATGTCCTAAAAGAATTATGGCTACTTCTTATCAATGACGGAGCTCCAGTTAAAAACAAACACTAATTATCGCATCATCATAATCTCTGAGGCGGCATGACTTTCAGTAGTTGCCAAACAGAGAACAAGAACAAGAATCACAGAACAAGATCACAGAAATGCACTTGAGCCGCAACATAATCCGCACCCATCTAGATAATCTTCTCTTAGTCCTCTGTATGATTAACTACCATTTTAATTCATATGAATAATCACAAATTTGGTTGAAAATTTGCCTACATATGGATATAGTCAGAAATTGATAAGCGCGTTTTAAATGAATGATTGCATTTTTGACTTAATAAAAATAATGCTTCCTTCTACTATGTGTCAATATCGACTTTTTGTACATAATGCTTCTCTAAACTTTAAAATAAACAATAGTGATTTGGTGTCTCTTTTATTATAATAAATCTTTAGCTATGGACGTAGCAAAATATTAATTATGATGCAGTAATGAGTCTCTATTTCAATTATTTTAATCAGTTTAGCTCGAAGATTTGAACAAAAAAAAAACTTACAAAAATTAAATATATTCAACACCAAATTGCTAAATTTTTATTCAATATTTGATGAAAATACATGAAAACGAAACAAAAATCGCATCAGTGTTAGTTACATCATAGCCTCATTGGTTCTATGGGATTTTGGGAGAATTGTATTCATGAAAATGTTTTTAAAATTTTCGACTTTTATGATTATTCACAATACAAAACTCCAACAAAACAAAAGAAGAATATTACTCACTATTATTTGAACACGGTGTGTATTTATAGAAAAGGAGTTGTTTTAGATACATTTCACACTGAAATTATTCATACCAACTAGAAATTAGTATGCCAGAAAAACACTCAGAATTTTTAAATACACTTCAAATATTTATACTGTGATTCACACTTATTAGTAATAAATTATAGTCTTTAAAGTTATGAAATGGAATCATTAGTCAGGAATATATATCACAAATTGTTGCATATTTCATCGCATTAGTTTTTCAATATCACAAAAATGCTAATAAACTTGAGAACAGACTAACCTAGTTTATAAAGCGAGTGCAGAATGTTTATAGCAGCTAGAGAAAATTTAAAACGTTCCCAAAATGACAATGCGTGTTTTTTTTTTACTACTATTTGTAATATTGTTAATAATAAGGATGGCTTGCAGCATACAAATAAACTTTATATTTAATACTGCGAAAGTTTCATATATTGAAAAAAAGATAAATACCTTGTTATTCTTCATTAGAATTTAATTTTGTCGTTGACTGTACTTCAACACCCAGTATGTCCAAAATTAAGTTATATTTCCATACTTGAACGCTTCTCGAAACAGCAACATGAAGTTTCTCCGTGGTTGTATTCCAACATAAAAATAAAAATTCTCAACGGTCGAGCAACGACGGTCGGCCATTTTGTATCTTGAAAACACACAATTTTTATTCTTCGGAGAATTTGACTCGAAATTAACAATGCCTAGCAGTGAAAAATATTAATTACTGTTAATAATAGACAGACTTTTTGATGACAGTAATAGAATATTATATAAACATTATACTAAAAAAGAATATTGTACATAATCTAGAATTCTCAAATAAAAACAAAACCTTTCTGAATAACGACTTGATCCAATACATGTTAAATATTTACAAAACAGTGCCATCTTCATCCCAAAGTCTAAACACGATGCTTATCGTTCGATGTTTTCGCTGAAAATACGGCGCTCTGCTTTCTTTGCGATAGTTGGACTCTAAATGGGACGAGCGGATGCACTATGATTTATCTTCGTTTAGGAAGATGTCGGATTGTAATAAGGCGTGGAATTTGGCGCGATGTAGAGGCTACATAATTCTTTTCATATTCCCATTTGGGGTTATGTTCGCGCTAAGTGACGTGGTATGATAGAAGCGACTTCGATGTAATTTATTGCTACTGGGAATTGCGAATAAACAACGAGACGAATTGGCGGTCTGATTTTCAACAGGATGTAATCAATCACACATCTGGATGTTGGTTGGAACAAAATTGTACGCATCGACGAGGTAAAATAACTCATGTTTAGATAAATATGCCGTATTTAGACGTGTTGTATACGTGAAAGCTACTTTTTAGGGTCGATATATATCCGTATTTTCATTATTAAATTTTGTCGAATCGGAAACGACTTTTCTCTCGTTAGTATACCGAATGCTCAAAGCTATAACCTTTGCAATACTTTTTTTTCTTATTCTACCCTAACCAGATCATATTCTTGAATTTTAGAATTTTTTCAACGTTTTCATAGAAATGCTTTTTATATTTTTTATTTGTTTAAAACCATTTCGACTATTACTGACTTTTCAATATACGACTGCAGAGGATTAGTGAGCAGAATGCATACATCAAAATATTTTCTGTTCAAACAGCTCACTGAAACAGTTTATTTGAATAACTTCATGCATCGAAAGAATAATTGGTTAAATATTTTCATACTGGTAACGGAACGAGAAGCCAAAGTTTGTCAAATTATTAGGTCTCATTATTAGGCCTTTCTACATCTCCCCGGGATATATTTGGAGAATTTTGTCCCAATTCTAAAAATATCAAGTTAGCGAGTTACATAGATTACATCGCATTGTATTTTAAATCGGCATTGTTTCTCAGGATAAAAAAAATACAGTTTAGAACCAATGGGGAACCAATGAAGCCTATAAACAAGATTGCCTTCAAATATATTTTGGGACAACTTTCATGGTGTCAAAAATAATTACACCCCAATCACTACACTCGTGTCGCTCGAGGTAGATAAATTTGCCTTCAAAGATGAGCATTGTACTTTACAATTGATTTAGAGAGCAATTCTATAAAGTTATACAATATACAATTTCAATGTATTTCAGAACATTCGGTTTATATATGCAATTATGGGTACTCCCGTAGTGTGTGTACCAGATTAGGTCTAGGCCATAATTTTTATTCCGATTTTTCTTATTTTAGTTCTATTACGTGTTCGGGGACTGTCTGTGCTAGCCAAGTAAATATACCCCTATCCATGAGCTTTAGTCACTTTACACAACTTGATGTAAAGTAGGAGAACAAAATTAGTTAACCACATATTGGTACAGACACTTCTGGAGCGCCCAATTATGATTCTATCATTTTATTTTACAAGATCTTTATTGATATATATTTAAATCTGAGCCATGAAAGAATATTGATTGACATTAAGTCATAGCTATTATTTCATGTTACTCACCTGAATTAATATTTTATTTGAATCAGAAAAAATGTAAACACTAATAAATAATTTTATTCTCATTTTATAAATATTATTTTGAACTTTTTTTCTAACTATAAAACTACGAAAAAATATATTTTTGCCGATCATGTTATGCAACACAAACAAATTGCTATATAACGGAATAGAATAACTACCGGTAACTGTTCAACGTTACTTTCTTGAAAACACCTTTTGATCAATTTTGTCTAAATTTATGCATTTGATATGTTGAGCTAAATTATATAACAGGAATATTACCAATTTAATAAAATGCGAAAATACAACAAAGACATGTCTTTTAGTAACTAATGTTCCGACCTAATTAGGAACTAATTTTTCAACAAAAAGTTTTTATGTTTGAAATCTAGATCATGTATTGTTATTTATTAGTTTTATTGCTCATTAACTGTCTATAACAGCGGTTCCCAAACTATGGGTCGCGACCCACTGGTGGGTCGCAAAAGAAATCTTAGTGGGTCGTGAAAAGATGTAAAAAGCTTTGGTTAATTATACTGGTTATTAGGATCGGTGGCGACTCGTTTACGTAAATCTTCAAAAAAACAAAAAAATTAAATTGAATTTAAATTTTTATCTGTAAAAGTTTCCTTTTTACGATCTTCTCAAGGGAACAAAAATTTGCTACACAAAGAATGACTATGTGGCTTTTTTACGCATAGCAGTTTGGTACACTGTACAGCACTTCTTACCGTGTTTCCCCGAAATTTAGATTTATTTCTTTTGAAGAATAACACTATGGTTTTTTTTTGGGAAAGGTCCTTTTGTTCATTTATCAAAAATAAAATTACATTGTAGAAAATCACAAGCTTTTTTACTAAACATTATATAAAAACCGACATCCATTGTTCTTATTTGTATTTTCTATACAAAAATCAAGTGACAAATATCATAATTGTGATATCACACAATCTTGAATAGTGATCTTCACCTTACCTCAGGTTAATGAACCTCTCCTCTTCCACACATTTTAAATTTATTTTAAGGGTAGGGTTTAATTAAATCATTTTGAATATTCAAATAATTATCTTATTTTCAGGCCAGGGTTCATTTCGAGGAAACACCGTAGTTTTGCGATGATTAGCCATTGCTGTGTTCTGGGTTATGTCATAAAAAAACAAAAGAAAATTTAAGTTAAGTGGGTCACCATAAGATTTGGTAATAAATAGTGGGTCCCAACTCTAAAAAGTTTGGGAACCACTGGTCTATAATTCTATAAGATTTTATGTATTTTAATTTACCCTTATGGTTATGTTACAAGTCAAAGTACTGTCTAGTTTTTAGTTTGACTGGAAGTCGATATTAAGAGTGAAATAACAAAAAAACTTTCCAGGGATGAGTGATTTGACCTTTCGTATTCTTCGAATCTTAGATTGTACTATTTGAATATATTTCTACACCATAACGTGTAAAATAATTTATCCACGTAATCCAATATTTTAACACGTATTGACGTATTCAAGTTAAATGAGTTATCAAAGTTACTTAAATGAGCATTTTCAAAATATATTTTCCGAATGTTAATACCACATTTTCATTTAGTTTTCTTTATGATGAGTTAATTTATGGAACTTCCTTAATTAATATCTGCAGAGAAATAAATAAAATTTTGAGACGTTCAATCCGCAACCGCGTATTCAAATATAATATGCAAAAGATGATTTTCGAAATATATGTTTTCAAATGGTGAACTCACACTTTTTAATTGAATACGAAGTGGACCTGTGGATTGATTTGTTATTATGCTGTTGCTGTTGTTGATCTTGTTGTTGTTTGCAATTTTCTTGGTGTTGTGGCAAAATTGCTCTTCTCATTAACTACTGGACTAATTTTTTTGAATATGAAATCATAATATTTTATAACTCTTTATAACTAATAAATTGAAAAGTACGCGTTATTTTTGCTATTTATATTTATAATTTAAAAATTAATTATTGCATATTGCAATGAAATTACACGAAAATTATTTATAGTCATAAAACGTTTCCTAAATAAGTTAATAAATTGGTATGTTAGTTTGGAGTATCTGCGATACAACTAACATAAAAATATTTTTGATCACTTTTTGTTATTTATACACTCCGTAACACGATATTTCATCGATAGATTTGGGATAATATTATTTCTCGTATTTTAAACAACGGTAAACCATTAAATATAACGTCGATTACGTTATTAATCATACAAGTATGAACAAAAAAGTAATAAATTAAGATAATTAGGTAATTGGGCGATCTACCAAGTTCCTTAAAATTTCAATATACTGTAAATAGGTTTTTTGTAGTTTCTGTTTATCAATGAATTTTTATTTATATATTTTAAAATCTTGTTGAGTTTCTCAAAATAAAGCTAAAGATTCATTCCTAATTGAGTAGAATTAATACTTTGTTATTCAATAAAATGACTGTATAAAAACATTTAAAAAAGCTTTTGTGGACATTTTACATAATGATTAAAACAATAGATATAAAAACACTATAGAGTCATTTCACACTGAGGCAAATGCAGATTTTGTCGTTAATATACACAACTTATTATCAATTATTACCTATTTACTTATTATAAATCAATTACTCATTACAAATTGTAATTTTATCCGGCATTTCACTAAAATAGAAAGAAGTTTTTTAATTTTGGAGAGGAATAATGGCTCAATTTTAATTTTGTTTTGATTTTTCAAATTTATTTCAATTCCCTTTGACTATAATTTTTTTCATTTTCAACATCTAACAAATAACACAAAATTAGGGAAGATGAAAAAATAATTGTATTAAATGTGAGTATCTTGTTAATCAGTTTTACAAAATCTCACTGTAAAAAGCCTGCTTTTGGGCCCTGCAGATTGAATATAGCTTTTAAAATTCTGAATTGTATTCCTATATTGCCAATAAAAAAAAATTCTCATTATTATTGTTAAATTGTACAAAAACAAATTTAGACTGAAACATTTAATGATGCTATAGTTAAAATTGATGTAGTACCAAGTTGAAAGGTTATAAAGTATCACTTCGATGGTACTTGAAGCGAATGGGCGCGACAAATTTAAGTTGGGGACGGATATTTTGTTTTGTTCCCATTCCAATTTACAAAGTGAACCCTAATTCGCACTGTTATTATCAAAAACAAATAACCTAAAAATTTGATTGCAAATGGTATTCTTCGGTGATACGATTTCAAATATGATAATATTCCATCCTACTTTGGATAGAAAATTAGCAATATCGATAAATGGTTGAATACGAAGTAGCAAGGGATACTATTTTGTGTTTCGTAACCGGTACATATAGCGATGAAAATTCAGTGCTTGTTGTGCCAAGTAGTCTTCAGACGTTAGACGGTGAAACATATACTTGATAAAACAAACTGAATCGATACTAAAACTGGATGTTAGTTATATACTTGGTAAAGATTTGTTGAAATCCCGATGATACAAATGTGTGAGTTTTGTTTAGTCTCCCACTGATCACATATCGTTGTAGATTGTCGATGGAAATCATTTTTGGAATTTGGCAATCGAATGGTCTGCTCCTAACCATACAATAACGTTGCAAGTATTACCATATATAAGTTGAAATGCTTCAAAAAATTACCAAAATCTCATAAATTGACAATACACCAAATGTCGAATGGTACCTTCCGCCATTTTTGTTCTTCTCGATGTTATTTTGCACCTCTATCAATGGAGCGCGAACCGAACATGAGATGGCGCTTTTGTGTAACGATAATGAGTCTTGCCTTCAAAAGTTAGCGTGTGGTAACATCAAAGTAATTAACATACGCTCGCTTTGAGCGCACTATCATTATGGTGGGCAAATTACGTGGGGGACAATGCTGTAAATAAAAAAAAAACTGAAATTTGCTTTTTTGTACAAAATTTTCAACTTAAGAGGGACGACCTACGCAAACGAAGCTTCGTCTTTTCAAAATATGCAATCATAATTAAATTTGTATAAAACATTTTTATACTTTGCGTTGAGAGTTGGATAGGAATGATCAATCAGTGTAAAATGGCGCAATAGTGTTTAATATTTGATATTTATTGTTAAAGATAAACTTGTTCAATTTTCACAACAATCGAATGTAATCAAGCAACCATTTGAGGCAAATAACTCGATTTTGTGTAAGATATGATTAATTTCCCTCTATATTGTTCCAAAATTATTGAATGGACAGAATGAAATGTGCAAACATCCGATTGTGTCTGTGCTAATAATATATTTGAAAAATAATGTATACAAAATAGAACGCGACATTTTCTTCGAACATTTCAGGCATGATTGCACTTGTTCTCTGTTTCTGTCAACACCGTTTCCACTCAGTCTACTCTTATGTCTACAACTGAAGTTCATGAACTCACTTAATGAATAAGAAGCATTCTCGAAGCACGAAATGAAAAATGACCGATGGTCATTGTCGGCGTTCAAGGGGAAAAGAGTACATACGGCGAGACGACGTGAGGTAACACGATACTTACAATGATGAAGAACTATCTTGAGTGGTCTGGGACAAAAACAATCACGAATGCCGTGACGTCCCGAAACGGTCATCCCGAACTATACTTCTCCCATCAAAACAACTTCGTAAATGCTTAGCTACAGCTTAGCTGACAACATAGTTCCAACAAAATATTAATTTTTTAACGACTCATCACAATCGATACCGATTTTGGTAATGTTGGAATAAGCGGAGCTTTAGGTAGCTTATATTTGAATATGCCGAATTGTGAATCTGTGTCAATTAAACTGATTCTAATGAATACCGTGTTGAAATCCTCACAGTAATGAGCTTCAATATTGCACTACTTATAATTTCATACTACATTTTCTATATCTTTTTTTCAAATAGTCTCATTCCCATCTATAAATTACAGATATCTTCCTTCGTTACTAACTCACATATCTTTCAACCCACTCAAATTGATGTAAAGTATATGTATTCTATGATCAAATTCGCTAAACTACGTACACATTCGTCCTATGTGCAATAAAGAAACCTAAACTTGTGCTAAAAGAAATTGTGTAGTCACACGTGACCATGAAAATGAAATCTAAAGCTTTCATCCAGACCGCTTCTTACTCAAGAATCATATTAAATTCCGATCTCGTTTTTTATTTGATACACGTAGAAGGACCTGTACACGTCTATATAATCCTGGAAAGTTTTACAGGTTCTTTCAAGCGTTGCTGAGATAGGCGTGAGGGTCAATAACAAATAGCCGTCAAGTGTATGGACGCCTCATTTGAAGACGATATGAGAATATAAATTGACCTAATCGTGTGAACGACAGCAGAGGAAACAAAACAAACACATGTGCCTATTTATCACCATTGAAATTCGTCAAGGTTAAAGCGAAGTTTAAGGCAACAAACTGAATCCATCAGCCTTGGTTCCCAATAAATACTATTTTGTGTAAACGCTAGTAATTTTTTGTATATAGATAAGGACGACATGCTAAATTTTGTATAGCCATCTTATTTTGTGAAAGTAATGGGGTTATAGTTTTTAAAATGTGTACTGTGCAAAGTTTGACTAAGCTATTTATTGGGGCCATAGGTAAGTCCGATTTCACGTAGAATATAGACATATAAATCATAGCAAATGGAATTTGGGATTATTTCAATATAGAACATCGTTAATAAATTGAGCTATCTCGAAAGTTTTTCTATATATCTGAAATATGAGTAGCAAAAATTTAGTTGAATAAGAGGCACAAATAGGGAGGGCGCAAGAGGTCCGTAAAATGCGTACGAAGGCTTTGAACTGAAAAGGACTTGTAACCAAAAAATTTACGCAATTTAAACTTGAAAAAGCTACTTAGTGGAGTGTTCTATGAATTTGAATTGAATAGGTCGTCCATTTTGTATTGTAACCTTTTAGTTGCTTCTGTAGTGTATAATTGGAAAAATCTTAAAAATGTGAAAGCAATGAATGGTTTGTTACTTACGTAGATGATTGAAAAAGAAAATATGTCTATGATGTAGCTCACTAATGAGATGCCCAACTTCACAATGATCCAAATTAAAAACGGCAGATAAAAATTTTAACGCCTTTATTTATTTTATTTTCAAATGAGTAAGCATGCTAATGCAATTTGGGCTTCTAAAGGCCCTCATCGAAATATAGCATCGTCTATATGATGGTTAATGATTTTATGGGGAATAAATCACGGAAATGTTATTATTTCATACTGAACAAATTTAGCAAATAGTAATTAAACCCCGCCTTTCCAGCATGCGGCTCAATTTAAATATTAAGAACCTTAGAATTTTTATTTTGATCATGTATAAATATCGACATGCTTGAAAATTAACGATATTTCACAACAAATCCAACCAGTGCTTCTTCAACACATAGGTGTTGTGTCCCGTATTCAAGAACAGAGCATTGTTGCAATTGGTCGTCGATTGGGGTACATGCTGGACATTTTAACTCATTCGGCGAGCGTCGATGTTCCTCACTTTCAAGCTAAACAATAAATTTCAAACCTCAAGGCTGCTATCGTTGGCTCGTGGATTTTGTCGTCAATAATATGTAAATAACTCGGATTTAAAGTCAGAAGGTACTATAAATAATACACATGTCTGAGGCAAATGAATATTCGTTTGGATAAAAAGCACGGATGAAATCAATTATTAGTAAATTAGAGATGAAATTATCTTTGGGCAGTGGAGAACTTCAAACTCTTTTGAATGTAGGATAGACTCTGAACAATCGATTCTCTCCGTTTGTTATTCTTATTTGCGTTAGAGGCATACCATTTTCATCGAATTCCATTTGATAAAATGCTTTTATAAATAAGACACATTTAAAAATTGCTAACAAGATTGCAAGCAATCTTTTGTTTTTACGATAATTCAATTCAGTCTTGTCAGATGAATAAAATTCAAAACCGATCAATGAAGTGTCGAAAACTGAAAGCCCTGTTGCGAAAGACGGCAATAATATGTGATTAAGTTGGATTTAAAGTCAAAAGGTACTAAGTAATACACATGTCTGAAACACTTGATAAAATGCTTATATAAAAAAGACATTTGAAATTGCTTACACGTTCGTAAGCAATGTTTTGTTTCACTTCTTTTTCACTTGCCCCCTTTTCCCCCACACTCAATAATCCCCCAATATAATAATAGCAAGACTTATACAAGCAATTTAAACGAGTTTATTATGAGATAGCGATATTCGAAGAGAAAAAAAATATTATAAAATGCACACTTCATGGCGTTTTGTACCGCGTTCATGCAGAATAATAATAAGCTTTCACATTTGGCGGCAAAAATAGTTTGAAAATACAAACATATTTGACGAGCATGTTAGAATAGAAATGGTATGTAAAAATAGGCGAGAAGTGAATATTTGAATCTAATTAATCTTCACGAGCTATGCAAAGAAAATTAACTACTCTCTTTTTATCCAAAGGTTGAGCCTGAGAATAAACCTCAGCCATATAAAATATAAATCTAGAAAAAAGAAAAGAGAGGATCGTATGAAAACAACATCTTTAACGATTGAAACACACAACTAATTGCCAGAAGCAATTACTCAGCAGAATATATAAAAATTATTAGTACAATTTTTGATAGCAAAAGGTTTTCTCGAATTGAAAGAGATTTTATTTTTAGTTGTTAATCGTATTTCAGATATATTGGTATTTAGTCTCAATGACTTTACTTAGCGCTGCAATCCAGAATAAAGATTTTGAGCAGAGAGAGTAAATTAGGTATGCTACATTAAAGTTGGTGTTTTCCCGATGTCCCTTTTATGTTTTTTGTTCATGGGTTGGGATGATCACTAAATAAAATATAATAATAATGTATGAATATGATATATCAAACAAGTCTGCATTTCGAAACTTATTTTTAAAATCCATATTGACCACATTACATGAAAATTGTGTACAAAAAAATATTGTCTGAGGAAGTGAAATATCAAAATGGCACTTAACGATATTATCATGTGAAGTAGCTGAGTGGACAGTGATGTAAAACGCTGGAGAAAATAGAAAAAACGTATTCTAAAATTTGGGGTTCATATATGTAATCTATTCCAAACCGCGCTAATAAATCTTACTATTGCGAATTGGGTTTAAATAGTTTTAAATCCATGCAACGTCAAATGAACATATATATTATTCCGCTTGAATACTTAACAATTACGTAGTACTTTCATCATATTTTATATTTGTGGTAATTCATTTTATGGCCTGACATAACTTCTTTCTAGAGCGTGTGTTGCTATTTTCTCCAACGTTATGATATGAAAATGGAAACTACAGTTGCAGCAATGCTACCGACGTCTAAATGTAGATATTTGCATAGCAAATGCTATAATAGAATATAATAGACAAGCTAGAAATAAAATACCGTTGATTTGTGACAAACTGTAGAAAACTATAGAACAGAAACAGTACCTTTAGTTGGGTTGAACGTTTTACACTCTTGGTCTTAATTTCAATTTATGGACGATGAAAAACAATCCTATTTGAATAAATAATATTTGCACAATCAGTGCAATTGTTGACAAACTGTAGAAAACTATAGAACAGAAAACAGTATCTTTGTTTGAGTTAAACGTTTTACACTCTCGGTCTTGATTCCATTTTATGGACGATGAAAAACAATGCTATTTGAATAAATTATATTTGCACAATCAGTGCAATTGTGGGAGAATTTTATCATAAAATTCTCTAGTATATTTCTAATTGTAGTATGCAACATTTAGATTATTGTAAAGTTAATTTAAATTTATAATTTTGTCTTGCTTATCCAAACGTTAGCTTGATATTGCAAGTTTCTGCGATTGTTGTTAGCGTTTGTATTTCGCGAATTTGTTGAAGCAATGAAATGCTCTTTTGCCCTAATGTTGTAGTCAATGTCATTAGAGTTAGCAGGTGTGTCTGACAACATAGGTGAACGCAGTGCTGCGTTTTCTTGTCCCGGCCTGTTGAGAGCGTTCCGTTTCATGTTGAGACTGTTATAAAGATTGTACCCTGGATCAGGAAATCGATCAGCACTTCCCACCGGACATGAAAACGATGACATGTATGTCGGTCTGTGATGATGTACTGATGTAGGCGTACTCACAAATTGCATCAATTTTAGTTGCGCTTCGTTTATTGAAACGTCGAGAGATGATACGGGATGGTGTTGAGTGGAATTGACTGACCCATGTGATAAGTGGAAGGCAGAGGTGGCTGACGAAGTGGAAATCCTCCCATATTCAGCTGGTCCGGCCAGCCCACCGTTGGTGTCGACGATTGGTTGGAAAGAGTCATAAGGCTTCTGTGCAACACCGAAGTGGGGCTCGTACCTTCTACCTAGTGCAAATTAAAACGATGTAGTTTATCCTTAGTTTAAGCAAGTTTAGTTATTACAAAAGTTGAAAAAAATAGTGTCCAAAACATAAACCTCAGCACATCTACTAATATTTTAAACTAAAACTAAAAATTTGAACACAGTTAAAATTAATTTTTATGTAATGAACCGATAAAAAACTTCCTTCCAGCGATCGAAAAGGGATACAGAATTATTGTTCGCTAACAATAAAAGAAGCTTAACCTACCCAAAGCGTCCATTTTTGCACCCATCATTGCAGCAGCGCCATCATCTGGTTTCATCATGCTGAAATCTGACATATTGGTCGGGTGAGGATGGAAAAACCCTGGAGATCCATTCAACATTCTGTCTGCTGTAGAGTTAACAAAGCTGTGACGTTGCATGTCATACTGAGAGTGGTTTGAGTTATAGCCACCAAAATATCCTTCCTCTGTGTGAGAACGATTAGGGAGACCTGTTCGTCCGTCATAAGTCAATGTCCTCTGATCTGGTGAGTGATTTGCTGTTGATGGAAGTAGATTCATTGGCGAGTGAGAATGCATAGGAAGAGCTTCATTGCTCGATGAAGATAATGGTGGTGAGACCGCTTGATCAAACATACTGCCTTGCATATTCATACTTGTACTGCTTCCATGCATCACTCTAGTCTTTGTGTTGGGTAATTTGTTGTCCTTTTTCCATTTCATTCTTCGATTTTGGAACCAGATTTTTACCTAAAAGGCAATATACTAAAATAAGATAAATTCTAATTTCAATGTCAGCTAGAGAATAGTGTTTTTAGACTAAGACTAATGATTATTTTTGAAGCAATGTTTGGTCGCCATTTTGTATGTTGATTCAGGAATTTTGTCTTGTTTTGTATATGTAAAGTAATCGTCACCTTAAGGTTTGTAGAAAGCTTACAAGGCGGACTGCAACTTCTCCCCGCAAGTCGGCTATATACGTAATGATCTTGTATGTTTTGATGATAATAGTTACTGATCCAAAACTACGAAATATCCAAAATAGCATACTCTGACCAATAAACCAAGTTCAACGGGCAGTCACCTATACTATTCATGTACACTGGTTTACTGGTCTATTCCATGATTCCAAAACGTCTTGACGCTAATTTTTGTTCTATACGATGCCTGATAACGTGTTGATTATGCCACTTTCTCCGCCGTGATTTAGGGGTTTTCAAACTCAGCAGGCCGGACTCTACTTAGCTCTGGCATTTTTGAAAAAACGGCAGCCATTTTTATAAAGTGGTGCAAAGGAATAGGAGTACAGACTGATAATTCCACCGGTGTTTTTCTGTTTTAGTCGCTACATTTAATAAAACACAAAGCGAACTTTATTTTACCTGTCGTTCTGTGAGGCACAGGGAATGAGCTATTTCTATTCGTCTTCGTCTTGTCAGGTAACGATTAAAATGAAACTCTTTTTCCAACTCCAATACTTGGTGTCTGGTATAAGCAGTCCTCGGTCTTTTACCCGGTTCCACTGCTCCATTGAAAACTAGAATATGAAAATTACTCTTATTTTGCCATGATTTATAACCATACAATGATAAAGGGATGCCATAACGACGTGTTTATCTGCAACTGAAGGGTTTTTACACTCTTGAAGGTGAAAAAGACTAGATATAGACGACTGACAGCAAAGCTGCTGCGTCAACCTTAATTTATCCATCACCAAGAAAGGACTAAAGATGTAACATACATATTGTGTACATACATCTATGATTTGTACATGAATGTACTATATCCTAAATCCTGTCTTGTACAAAACAAAGAACAAATGATAGAAAGAAGATTCCCTCTCATCACAGTTTCCTCTGCGCAAATCAAAGCTTCATATTTCGGTAACGCTGGCAAGAGTCGGAAACAAAGTATTGGTGTAGTATATAAAATGACCCCGAAGTGTCGTGTTGCGAAATAAGATGATTGGAAAAAATTGTGCCCGGTATAATCTACGATGTTGCAACAATAACCAAACAGCCAACGAGTTCAAACTAATAAAAAGTCAATATACAATATAATATAAGTAACAATATGAGGTAATTCACACTTTGATTGTCAGGAGAAAATCGACTTCCTCATCAAAAGCAGTATGAAGATAATTCGGATAGCATATACAAAAGGTTCATATAAAAAATAACAAGTTTTCAGGCGAGCAGAAAAGTTTATGGAATATATCCTCGCCTTACTTGTTTAACACAAATTCTGAAAGAAGCCATTTTGTCAGATGAACTGAAAGGATGCTAAGTTACAAATGAGACCAAATCATCCACTCTTTTAGTTTAGCTGTGTTTGTGAACATGTATACAACAGTAAGTGACTTTTTTCAAATATGAATAATAAATTCATAGAAAACCCTCATGATCGTGAGCATGTTGTCTCATGATTATCCCAAATATTTAGATTGAAAAATAATTTATCAGGCGCTGCTTAAAAATAAAAGTATAGGTATAAATAATTGACTACTCTTGGCTAACTTTCAAAAGGTTTTCCTCAGGTATGCTAGATTGGGGTATTTTTCTCACCGCACATGCGTTAAATATATTTACAAACTATTTTCTATCTATCTTTAATTTTCCCTTTTAAATTTGTAGACATCTCATTAATCTGAAACAAACGGAAACAATGACATGCATGTTACATTTATGAATGTTTTCATAAGACTGTAGAAAAAGACTGTAAACCTACTAATACTTTATAGTAATTTGTACAATATTTTTCGGTCAAATTACAAACAAAGTAAGATACTGTTTTATCATTGCTCAAATGTTGAAAAATTAAATATAATCGGAAATAAATGACGGATGATAGGTAATGACGAAGTCAGTGTACGGTATGATAATGGATCACCTGGCTGAGACAATGCATAGATACATTAATTATAATTTATTGCTGTACTACGATTCCTTATCCCCAATTTTGCTGCACGATAATTCCCATGTATATACGTTATCATTGAATGAATGTTAGCCTTTGGTGGATTATATAATCAAGATTTGAGAACCAAGTCTAGTCCGGTTACACGATTAGGTCATATTTTTATGACATTTGCGTAATTTATCATTCTAGTTCAATAATTGTATCATTTTCAGGTTTCTCCTGATTTATTGAACATGAAATTTCAAGATTACGTAATGTCTGAATAATTAATTAGTTTTTAGGTATTTAATGTGAAACTATTAAAAAAGTTATTTAAATCATTAACATTTTTACTTATTTATGACATCACGATGTCACGATAAAATAACAGAACAATGAATGACGAAACAATATTATCAAATAATTTAAACTGATTTATTATTAATACGGTTTAACTAGAAATATAAAATAGCTACATAAATTACAAAAAGTATTTCAAGTCAACTGAAATTACGAGGCAATTTAATTAAACTTAAACTAGCATTATATAGAATATTTTCAATGTCGTTTAATAATTGTTCCGCAACACGTAGACAAGCGCAAATTTTCCATTTACCGGACGGATAATCGTCAACCGTGGAAACAAAATGGCGTCGTACAAGTGAAAGCGGTAGACCGTGAAAACAAACAAGTCAATTGGGGCGTGAACACCAAATACGTTGGCTAGTGAATGACATGAATTGAAAAATAAAAACGGTATTATTTGGTTTACGACGTCCCCTAATCGAAAAATAAATCGATTTTTGATTGCAGTGATTCACCCTTCATTCATTATTTTTTCAAAATTAGTATCTCTACGCACCTTAGTTATGTAAAGGCAAAAAGTGCATCGTGCTCAATATTCAAACAGCTTCAAATCATACTGTCATACTTATATGTATGATTTAAACTAATACATTTTACAGATGAATACTTAACGAGGAAGCTCAATATTGTATTATTCTCGTCGTACTTCCGCCCATTCTAAGGCACGAACGACATCCTTCGTATAAGTTCAAGTTTCAAATGCAATTTACTGAACGAATGCGAACTGATCGCGGAAAGCATTTTCGAAACGAAGGAGGGTCGTATCATAGTTATGATACGATTCTCTGAAACACAATTTTTTATTTTTCCATACTCATGTTATTTACCACTGGAGTGTTTGAAGAAGAACATACGCGAGAAGTATAAACCTTAGTGTTGGATTGTCTCGTAAAGAGTATATTTTCGTTTTACCATTTACTGTTTCATCAGATAAATTCTTGTCGCCATCGTTTATAGTCAATGCTGCAATGTAATATATGAGAAACGAACATAAGGTTCTATTTTAAATTACTATATATATCGGGAAAATCGTGTTACATCCGATTGTGAACTTATAATTATATCTTATTATTATTTGCTGCTAAATTTAATTACTGTATTTATAAATATTTTGTGCAAAAATATAAAAAGAAAAATTCTAATATGAACCCGCAAGTCTACCGTATTATTTTGGTAAAAATGAATCGGTGATCGCTCAAATTTATAAAATAAGCACAATGTTGGTCATACTATTGGAGAAACGTTGAATGCGTATAATGATTTTTTATATTGTTGCCATGGCTACTATTTGCGCACCTATATCAAGGACTACAATTCATATCCGTTTCTGTAAAAAAATGTATTTGATAATGTCTTAGATAAGTTAAATCATCATTCTGAATCACACAATTTGCGAGCGTCCATCATTTTACAACTGATATAGCCATGGATTGGGTAAGAATACGGACATTATTATTCAGCAATCTTCAGCATAGAGCGACCCCAATTGTGGATCTCGTGATCTTTCACACCGTGTTTATAGTAACTTTTACTATACCCGACAATAACATCGTATTGGCATCCGCACTGTGTGCGAGATACAAATGTGATTAATTGTTGATTTCCTATTTATGTCGAATATTCATTCTCTTTCCTTTAGCACAGCGGCAAACCAGTTTCCAATCAAAGCGAAGAGCGTCCGCCCTTTCATTGAATAAAGGCGGGCTGGGCAATATACAAAAAGAGAAAGTAGGCTACTGTTTTTCTCTTTTAAACATGGACTTTATATATCGTCTATATATCCATGATATATTTACCAGTTATGCATGGCCCTTGCTACGAATAACCTTGGTTGAAATAAGACTTGTGAATAAGAATTGCATTTACATCTGTATTGCGGCTTTGTGCGTTTTAATTAGTGTGATTTCTGGCACGAGAAAAGAGATTCCGTGACCATTTGCTGCTTTATTTACCACGTTAAAATGCCTCCCGTCTATTTGATTTGCATATTATAAAATCAGTGCAACATTTTCAAATTCCCGATTTTATATTTAGCTTTACCGTTTCGTGGATAATGTACGACAAAAATATTACAAAATAAAAATAAATGGAAATGAGTGCACTTCATAGTATCGCAAATCAAGTATAGACCGTATCAAAACATTCCCTTATGATCAGTACGTAATTAACAATTTGAAAAGCTACTGGGGTATCAGACAACAATGGACTGCATCTCTGAAAATACACGTCTAAGACCAAGCACTGCCTGGGTGTAGTTTATTAGACTGGGAAACCTATATCGACACTCGAATCACGGACTGACAAATTTGTGAATTTAATTCATTTTTGTTAATCAATTCATTAGTGACACGAATTTTACCAAAACGTCATTTTTTGCAATCCAGCCCGTGACCCGATTTCTTTTGCCATAAGTATACGACGTCATCATTACAAAGCAAATTTCGTGCACTGGAAGGGCGGTTCAACCCTCAGCCGTCTTGAGAGAACATTTTGTCAAGTTACCAATACCTCAGTCGTCATGTGGTGGTGAATTTTTATGTTCGTGTTTTATTGCGCAAATTATCTTCTTAGACGCCCTAATTTTGCACGCACACGTATCTGCTATGACACGTTTTGAGGCGTACAAACAAATTTTGCGCACGATAATTTTTACGCAAGCTCGAAACTCCTAAAAATAAAATCAGATAACCGAACGTCTCAGATCAGAGACTACGTTGGCAAGCTCTGTAGGTTTCACAAATCTTCTAAGAAATACGTCGACAAAAAAAAGCCCGAGAAAAAATGAACGGTAAATATTGCATTTGCCGATGAAGACAAATTGTGATTTATCATCCAGCTCAGACGATGTACATTTCCAAATTACTCAAATATTGAGAACTTCGAGATAATATACGTAAAATTGGACGACTTTGCACGGGAAAAACAGAATTGAGCTAATTTTAGAAATTTCAACTAGACCTGGCGCGGGTTGTCAATTTTTCATGTAAAATACAGTAGAATTACTATTCCTTCACATTACTAAAAATTATAGAAATACCTAAGAAAAATTGTATTTAAAACTTTGAGAAAATTCAGCCCTTGGTTCTTGAGCGTCACCTTTGTCTGCTCTTAAAAGTTCATCCACGACAATTCTCTCAGAATGATAAGCAATCGCTTTTAATAGGAAGATATAGAAGTTGATACTAAAATTAACGAGGTGCCTAAGAGTTTAATGAAATTGACAATAAGCCATGCAAAAGCAAGCAACAACTTGACTTTAGAACAAACAAAACGCTTTGTTTAAAACAGCGTTCATTTATTTTTAAACACGCATACTGCCAATGATAATACTCTTATTTTAATAATTCGTTTATTCAGCCTTTGAACTTTCTAAATTAGGGCATCGATTAAATAACTTTTCAGTTCGTTCAGTGTCTGAAAACTGGTCTGCTTGAGAACCTGACCGAACTATACAACCCAATAAATGTATTAACTTAAAACAGAATGAGAAGCTGCTTCCTTTTTGGAATATTGATACTTAAACTACGTGTCTAATTTGACCCTATGACATTTGATATCAGAGCAACAGCATCACGCTGAATTACAACATATTACAGATTTGTCTAAACAATGTTTACAACTTTCCTTCATACAAGCAATGTGTAGTCAGTAAAATGTCTCCAAATTGAACCACAATAAACAATACACTCCTATACTTATAAACCCAAATACAGAACTTTATTGGAATCATCATGCAGAATTGCCGATTAGGACAAAAGATTAGTGCTCAAGTAGGCAGATACCAAAGCAAAAACCTTGTCCCGATATGCAACTTCAACCAATGCATATATATAATCATTAAAGCACATTGGAGTGTTACTAAAATAGCGATTCGATATTCTTCAATTGATAATATATTGACTCCTTGCACATGGCCTTTTTACAGCAATTGTGATATAAAGATTACTATTAAAACTTTCTTAAATGGCTTGTATTCAAGCATTGGGATTTAAAAAACGTATTTCTATCTTTGACATATATATATCGTCACGCTAATAACCGAATTGCGTAAGTCATTTTTGGCGATTTTGAGTTTTTTATAAAATAGGTATTTATGTAATGCTGCGCACCTGTCTGTTAACTCAGATTTTATTTTAAGAATTCCGAAACCCATAAAAATGGAGATTTAGTATGACATGCACACTTGTGCAATTGTTTCGTCATAATAAATTATCATTGGTACCGCAGGGCTATTGTGACGTCACAAAGGCAAAATAACCTCGGCTAAGGATTTTCGAGTTTTTGCATCTCAGATTCTAGCTTAGCGCGTATTAATTTGAATTTATACTACAGTATAGGAAGACGTGCACTTGTGATATTCACTGTCCGAGTCCAATTCACATTGGTTGGCTTTTATATTGGGTGCATTGCTGTTTTATTCTTTATATTGAATCTTAGTCTTATTTCGGTGGGTGTGCAGAACGTGTTATATTGATGAAATATATATTTTTAAACATAAAAAATAATGTAATTGAAACTGATTAGCTATTTTGGGGATTAGACATTGTAGATACTAAGAATTACATTCGTTTTTGGAATGTTCAGTTTTCAGGACTGGTGCATATAGTATAGTTGCAAAATTGCGTATGTCCCCAAGTCATAGACACATTTCTGCGTAAGTCACAGTGCGCCATTATGACGTCACTTAACTGCGTCATACAAATTAACTTAAATCCGGCTACGATCAAAAAATTGAACCATGATAAATTATTGACTCTCAATGGCATAACAATATCATTAGGAAGTTTTTTACGTTTTTCTCAAAACTGCTAAAAATGACTTACGCAATTCGGTTATTAGCGTGACGATATGGTGCTGCGCATAGATGTTTAAAACCCAATTTCTCATATCTAAATACCGTGTATAATTTTGGGCTCAGTTTGTAACGCATATGGTGATAATTTGAACTTAAAATTTAACTTACCATGACTGACATGAATTCTCTTCATCCACGGATAAACAGTCGGTGGAGATTCTTTGCCTTTCCCCTTTGACACTCTTTCATTACTCCCATGCGGGGATGTACCGTTTGGGACATCGCGATACAACATTTCAGGAGCTACATCATTGCCCGTGTGCGACACTCCGAACTCACTCTTCACTAAATGGTTACCAACGCTTGGAAAATCGCTTTCTCTCGCTTGAAAGAAATCGTTGGAAGACGAATTTAGCCTCGACGTTCCCAAATAATCTTCGTGCGCAGGCATCATGTTCTGCATGCCCTGCAAATAGTTGTTATTGTTGGCCGCAGATTCGGGAGAGCCCCGTGTTTGCAGAGAAGTCAAGTTGTCACTCACATCGTTGTTACTATTAGCGGTAACCACTGCGGTAACGTTCATTTCTACTGGAAACGGTTTTGAGTGACTGGTAACAGTAACTTCATCATGTAACGCAGCCATTTCCCGTACAACCGGATTTACACCTTTTCATACGCTTACTTGCGGTTAAGAATATGACTGCTGCGATAAAACAATAAGAAATATTAGAATAACAAAATTGGTTAACCACTAGTATTGATTGTTATATTAGGCTAACTGAGGCAAATTTTCCGCGACAATGCCCTGCACTACTACTCACATTTTGTTTCATATCTAGACAACAAATTCGGGTATATTAAGCCCCAATTATTGTTATAGTCTTATCTAGTTCTTTTCAGATTATACTTTGAGCAAAAACCTTCATAACTAAGTATGTTTTTTAAAATGTAGTTTTATTTTTGTCAAGTAATACCAATATGTATTCAAACTACTCTGCCAATTCTTCGCTGACAAAAAGTATCTTTTATTAATCGCTCCGAGCAATATACAACAACTTATAAGCTGCATTTTTTCACTGTCACTGACCTTCTGTCGGGCCAATACAAAGTCATGCTATTCCTGGAATTAGTCAGATCCGTCGACTCGAATCGCCATGATTGGGCAGTCAGACAACAGCAGGGGAAAGTAAAATTGTTATCACAGATCACGAATTTCATTTAAACGTCAGATATGATAAATGTCCTCAAATATCGATTTGTCGTGATGACATCACACAACTAAATGAAGTGTGTACGCCCAGTTAGTTGCAGTGTATGGTGGCCCACTTAGAAAAAAAATTAACTTCTCTACAATCATAATTATACATAAAAAAAATTATTTTGTCACTTATTCGGGTACATTAATTTTAGTTGCCGCAAAATTAACATGCTGAAATAAATAATAATAAAAAAAGAGAAAACCCTGATTTTGTACAAAATTTCTATTCGAAATATAACGCATCATTGTTAGAAAACTTTGTTTGTGGTAAACATATCTTCAAACCATAATGTTCATAATCTTTGGGAACATGGAAAAAAATTTCTAAATGAAAAGCAGACACTGCAATTATTTTAAACTATTAAAACTGATATTATTTTATTTAAAATATTATACATTTTTCATCATCTAAATATATACAAGCAGATGTGTTCTATGCACAAGCCTAGACAGTTTTCAATATAACATGATTCAATTAATCATGTAACATTTCAAAGATATTTGCTCTATAACGCTACATTTTCATGATGTGTATTTGTTTCGGATTAGAATCGGAGACAAAATACCACGATGTAGCACGCTAAAGTAATTAATTTTTCTACGCATTCGATTAATACTTGTCATTTCGAATTCGTGACATGAAAAACGAATAAATCGCGTATTCAATTTATCATCAACGTCAATTTAACTCAAAACTCGTTGAAATTAATTGCATTTTGTAGAAGTCGATCAACAATGTTTGCAAACACAAGGCTGTGAAAAGCATTTGACAATGACGCTCATAGAGTCGTTGAAATATTTTCAAACTTTGTCTCTTATACATGACTATAACAGTGAAAGAATGCTGATTTTTCACAGTTTGTCTTTACTATTTATTATCAGTATAATCAAAAATGAATCACAGTAGAATGCGTCAGGTATATCATAAATCAAGTTATGCAGTATCTCGTTGTCAAAATTGTTCGATAAAATGGTGTAAAATAGTTGCCATGAATGTTGTTCATATTTCCAAATACGTATAGTTTATCGATAAAAATAAACCTGAAACTCTGCTTGATTGGAAAAGAACCACAGCGCATAAGTGTCAATGAGTACAGTAGTATAAATATGGCGATACGTCTTGACTTGGTAAATAAATGAAAAAAGAAGCGCAGCAACAGTAATAAAATTGACCAGTGAAACAACTGATTTTGGACTTAATTCAATCCTAATAGTCCTTGGTCACCTGGTGATCAATAATATGTAATTTGAACACGAGATCCCAACGAATATAGATAGACATGATGACCTTATGCGTAAAAATATTCCGGGTCATCCGACCGAATTCAAATACAGTGTGACGTAACAATGTCTCAAACGACTCAAAAATACTACGCCACAAGACATACTGCTTATGACGTTAGCCTAAATGCCGTTACCTACTCGCTAATGGACAAGCTCTATTGGTAAGAAATAAATCGCTTTATAAATATTTCCTGTTCTAAGATGGCGATTTTGTAAAATTATTTTGTACACTGTATCTAGAACTATTATATATTCGGCCTCGCTGACCTACTCGTCGATATGAACATACTTGGCTCACATTATACACATTAACTAGGCTAGACTTGACCTCCAAAAGTCTAATGCCTGTCTAGTTTACCAAACGGTTGATTCCAAATTCAACCCTCGGCTTCGTTGTTAAGCATTTCCGAGTGAAATACACAACGCAAGTGCGAGCGGGCAATAATATCCATCGTATACATGCGGTTAACATAAAAGGAAAAAATAAATCTTGTTTGTAACTTAATAACTTTGCCAGTGCATTGGATTTACAAATTGGCATGAGGTCGTGCTCGACATATGTAATGATTTTATTTAGGTGTTTTTTCTTCTTGTCTCGCGGCATGGTAAAATATAAGAAATGACTGTAATATGCTTGATGTCATATGAATATATCATAATACGTGATTTTTTTCAAACCCCTTGGTACAAGTATGTTATTATTTACATGTGTGTATATGCGATTCGGTAATCGCATTTAAAAGTCGCCGACTAATACTATATACAAAACATGCACAGCAAGATATCGTGTGTATGTAAACCTCGCACTGACGGTACAAAAACCAAAAGCCGCATAAATTGAACACATACGTGATCATTACAGCTATTCTCTGCGCCGACCCATCAATTCGTATTCGGATAATGTTAGGCTTTGAATTTGTTTATTCATCCCACTATATTTGAGTGATTCCCCCGAATCAAAAAATATATAATTTTTCGATGCTGTGATAATACCTTCAGGTAAAATCGCATCGAGAATGAGTTTTCGTGAGCTCGATCATATTTTATTGATGCTATCTGCTTAACGCATTCGAGAAAATAAAAGAGATTAAAAGTCCGAAGTTACATCGTAATTTTGTTGCATCTATTTGTAATGTGACGGATACTTTGATAAAGAGAATTCCAGATATGTTACTTCTGTTCCAACCGCACTGAAATAAATTTTAGTATGACTTCGCAGTCTGGATTTTTCCGCCAATTTTATCAAACTGTCTGGAGCGTCAAAAAATTAAAAAATTCTAACGCTAAATTTGGGTTTGTTTATGCTACTTAGATCACGATTAAAATGCATGACAAGAATTTGAAAATAGGAATTAAAACAATATGGCGAATTTGAATACACATACGTGCAAAAATGGAATAGATATTACGTCTACGAGAACAATTTCAATGCTCGTTTTTTTTTCAACTACTGTATGTTGTTTATTGTTTGAATGCTCTGTTTGGTGCTTCAATTTAAGGTTCAAAACGAGTGTGATATTTTTAAATATGTCAAACGTCTTTTAAAGTCTACAAAATCAAAACATACACAGTGCCTTGGAGCAAGAACTGTTTTTCGACCTATCAAGAATTCGACAACGGAAGATTGAAAAGTGTCAAAATTTATATGAGTCACGTTCACATTATCACTTTGAAATCTGACGCCAAAATAAAACTGCGTTATTTATTTATTAGATATATTCACGAAATTTTAATAAGCAGCGTCTATTTAGGTATTTATAAGAGACTGCACAGCCTGAGCTTGTCAGGGGATATCATTGCTCATCCCGAAATCCTAAATAAAAAGTACAACATGATCATGACCAAATTAGATTGGGCTCGTGAATAAAATTTTTTAGTGGGCTTCAAATTGATTTGATGACATTTTGCTCATTTCAAACATGTCTTCATAGGACACGTATAACGTCAGTATATGGCTTGCCATAATTGCATAACAACGCAAAAAGCGTCAAATCATATTTCAGTTACAACAAAACGTCATCCACCATTCACTTTATACCGGTAGTTATGAAAAACGTATTTAAAACTCGTCAAAAATATTTGGCACGGTTTTCCAGACACGATTTTCGAGTGTGTTTAACACAGTTAGAAGTCGGTTTGGCGTTTTCATACAAATTCAAGGTAAAAACGTAGCCGGGAAAATATTTTTTCGCAATATCATTCGATTGCTCGTTTTTGTGTAACATATATATAGTGATGAATAGGGACGATTCACAGGTAATGCACTTTTATTAATAGGGCCAAATCAAAAATCTGTCATTGGAAAACTGAGTTTTTAAATTCTGGGATTGTAGTTATCATGCAAAGATAAAGTTTTGAGTAAGGTTTTACCCTGGCATGCCTATCTTCCTGTGGAAAGAACCTTCGTGAATGCTACCTGTCTCTTTCAATAAATAATGTGACAATTCATATGATTTGGACATCTGACAATAATGATTACATTTTTGGACTTTCTACAACAATACCTTTTCAAATCAGGTGTTTGAATTAGCGACAACCAGGTACGAAAAAACATCTTGAAATCAAGTAAATAAGTAACTCGCAATGTAATAAAGATTCACAGATACGCTTGATAACAATTTATAATTTTTTATCATTTGCAAGCTTTTCGTCGACGGTAATAACTGGTTACTTGAAAGTAATGCCATATTTTTGTCTTCAGGCCTTTAGCATTCATCCCAAGTTTATGAGGGGTACAGCTATACACTGATGAAAATAAATTTCCAACAAACTAAACTGACATTGAACGCAGTGTCATCCCATGTGCCATTCTAGTTGAAATGTAGATATTTTTTTCCTACTGAGCTGATTTTTATTAAATCGTTGTTCATAAAGTTTAAATTACCATAAATGTCTTATTCTTACTGCAAACAAATAAATTGTTCTGTTACATGTTTAATGCCTGCAAATGCTTAGTTATAACATCTGATTTTCTAACAATCTGTTTTATACTCAATACTTTTTATCAACCATATTAGAATTGATTTAGCACTGACTATTAAGCTACACGACATAATGCCAACTTTCTTACGTCCTGAATCAAAATAGTTTGTACTTTAAAAATCTACATTATATTAATTTCTCTCTAATAAAATCACGTATCTCCGCGGGGGAAAATAAAT